TCAGAGAATAATGTATTAAAAAAGGATGAATATCAGCTGATTCTGATGCCAACAGTCTCCTTCGTAGGAACAGTTTCATTCATCCATCAATGGATCCAGGAACATCTGGATGGATCGATGGATGTTTTAACCTTTCAGCTCCATCAGGGATTATCTTCCTTCAAAAGCAGCTAAATCAGATGTAGAAATTTGTCCCAGATGTTGCTGAGAGCTTTGGTCTGTTTACTAGAGTCACACGTCCACACCAGTCCTTTAGAAAGTTACGCCTGTGGTGAGACCTGATGCATTCTGGTGCTTCTACCGGATTGGTCACAGATGTCTGTATAGACTCCGCCCCCTTTTTGACAGGAGAAAAGCTGATTCAGCGATTAGTCCCCTGTGAAGGAAAACTCTGGTATCATAAATCATCCTGATTGGTCCTTCACTGGACCCTGATTGGTCTCTGATCAGTCCCCAATCGGCCTGTGGTCCGCCCGATTGGACCCTGATCTGCCGCTAATCCTCCACCGATCGACCCCTGATCCACCCCCGATCGGTCCCTAATTACCCCCCAATTGCCCCCTTATCATCCCCTTGATTAGCCCCTCATTGGCCCACGATTCACTCCTGATCCTTCCCCGATCGGCCCCTAAGCGGCACATTATTGGCCCCTGGTCCAACCCCGATCGGTCCCTGATTGCCCCCCAATCGGCCCGCTATTGGCCCCTTATCATCCCCTTGATTGGCCCCTGATTCACTCCTGATCCTTCCCCCCTGGTCGAGATGTCCTGCAGGATTGTTCCCTCCAATCCACATTTTCTCTCCAGCCTGCATTTATCTCCAGCATCCTCAGGGTCTGCTTGTTCTTCTTCTGTGGTTTCATGCTAGTAAGCAGCATGATGTTAGCTTACCCCCCCCTACTGGTCAGAAGAGCCAATCAGGACTCCCCGATCAAAGTGAGCGTTCCCAGTTTCATTTCTAGCTTTCTTTGGTGGTGGATCTTTTCATGGTGGATCTGGACCTTGTTTGGGTCGGTTCTGGTTTTCTCTTTTCTGTCTGGTTCCCACAGAAGCTGCGTTTCCATTAAGTTCATTATTTCATTAAGAACTTTCTTACGATTCGATGGCCGTGAAATTTCAGTCATTTTGAAATTCTGATATTTTGCTCTTCAATGGAAACAGTTTTTTTCGTAATCTACCGCGATCTAAAGGCCTTTTGATAAAACCAAGAAGAAGAAGAAGAGAGTTAGCGGATGATGGCGCCCTCTGGCGGAAAATGGAAATATGTCACATAAAAAAATCCGCCATGTTATTTTCAGTTATCATGTAAACAGATTTATTTATATTATTTAGTTATTAAATGGAAATGCTAGTAGGATATTTATTATATTCCAATTCAGCAGCAAAGTGTTGAGCAGATTCACCCCCCCCCCCATCAGGTGGAGATGAAAGCAGGACAGTAATGGAGTTGAAGAGGGAAGAACACCAGCTGCTCTTCCTGATTTAACATCAATAAATCACTCAAACACTCAGAGACAAGCAGCTTCTTCATCTTCCTCCTCCTCCTCCTCAGTCTACCGCCCCCCCCCCCCCCCCCCCCCCCCCCAAATGTAAGGAGGAACCAAACATCAGACCTCCAGGTTCCTGATGGATTATTGTTGTAATTATTGGTGCAAAACTGAAGCGGATTGATCAGTTTATTGGGAAATAATCTGGTCCACTTCTTGGACATCTAAAACATGTCCTATTGTCCCTCATGTGGAATATTCTTCTCTAACTGTGCAATAACTCATTTTGTACTTAAGGTCAGTCCATCTCTGCAGTCTAACTGCAATAATCCATCAGCTGCTGTGTAATCTTCTCTTAGCTTTCTACTGTGCAGATATTTTTATATGTAAGGGAAACATATTCCAGGACTTTACAGCTTTGTTATGCTTTCTTGTACCATAAACAGTCTTTTAATATTGTCTGTTGTATTTTTTATCTTTAATTGCATCTTGCTTTAACTATTTGTTCTCTATATAAACTACTGGAACCAGAATTTACCTGAAGGAGAAATCCCAAGGATTAATTAAACTGAGTCTACATTGCTGTGATTCTATCGGTGAGTCTGGAGCTCCCCCTGCTGTCTGAATGAGGAACCTATGTGGCTTCTCTCTCGGTGTGGCAATAAATGACAGCGAGCTGAAGCTGGCATCAGTAGTTCTTCTTTAATTCTCCATCTGCATTTCACATAATGGGCATGGAGGTACGGTCAGTCTCTGGCATAAACCAGATTAGGATTAGCCATTAACCAGTAACCCCAATAAATCCTTAAAAATGACAGTGATGGCATAGAAAAGAAGGGAAGATCTTTAATTAAAATGCTCTGAGAAATAAAATAAAATGCTGACATTTTATTTACTGGGTGCCATTTTTATATTTTCCTTTAAATAAACTTGCATCTTGGAAAAATGCAAAAACATAAATCAACCTTATCTTTATATAAAAGTCTTAATATAAAATGCAGCTTTATTTTAACCTCTGCCAGAAGAGATTTGCTAAAACAAGCTGCATCATCGAATTCAGTCTCTGGCATAAAACAAGCTCCTGCAAGGAGGATCTATGGAAGAGGATTAGTGCCACTGAAAAAAAAATTTACTGATTTTTTAATTTGATTTTGGTATAATATTAGAAAAAAGTCAGAATTCTGACTTTTTCCCATATTTAATTGAAATAATATTTAAAAATCAGTTTACTTTCTTCCAGTGGCCCTAATGGTCTTCCATAAGGAGCCACAGTGTTGCTGCGTGGGAAATTCCCACCACACTTTATCATGACGTAAACATTTCTGAAATGCAACAAAAATGACATAATAGCAGGACTAGCGTAACCTAAACATAAAAAAGCGTGAAAAACAATGGGCGACAGGGCCTTAGAAGCCGCAGCTGCCCGTCTGTGGAATGCCCACCCAGACCACCTTAGGGCCCCACAGACGGTGGATTGTTTTAAGAAAGGATTGAAAACTTTCCTTTTTAGAAATGCATACATTAGAAATGCTTGTATTGATTTTAATGATTTTCTTTTTACTCTGTTTTTAATGTTATGGTCTTTTAACCTTGTTTTAATTTTCCCTTTTTTTAAATGTAGCACTTTGAGATTTGAATTCAAATTTAAAGTGCGTTACAAATAAAATTCGTTATTATTATTATTATTAACCTGGATTAAACATATTTCAATAATAAGCAAAAATAAAAACCATAAAATCTTTTATAAAATGCATAAATTATATTTCTTTATCACATAGCAGACAGGTCACCTCATCAGGGATCCTGATAGTAGGTAGGATTACCCATAATGCCCTGCTCTTCCTAAGCTGAATGCAATGTACCATTTTACCAGCAGATGGTGCATTTTAGCAGGATTCAACCTCAACAATGTGAACTAAGTCACACTTGGATCATTCAGGTCTGGTTCTGCCTGCTCTGCTGATATGATCCCAGTAATCCAGAGGAATTCAAACATCCTTCCTTCATCCAGTCTGCAGGGAAAACCTGTCCTGGTCAGCGAGTGTCCATCTGTGGGAAGTTAGACGGATCAGATGTTGATCCAGGAGTCTGGCTCTTCCTGCTTCAGTCAGATCTGTACAGTAGGCAGGAGGTTGGATGGATCCTGTACCGTTTTCCTCCGCGTGTCTGATTGTCTGAAGGCTTTTAGGACAAAAACATCCCGTTTATTAACTGATCAGCATCCAGAGAGACTCCAGATATCCAACTAGGCAGTTCATTCAGTTTTTTTAATGGAAGGAGGAGCAAAGAAAAAATAAACTCCAGAACCTCTAGACAGAGCAAACCCACAGAAACATTGAGTATTTGCCTTGCCTTAAAAGTCTGTAACATAACTATAGAGAGAGAATGAAGCAGAATGATGAAATGGGGGTCCCTATGTCCTCCAGCAGTCTAAGCCTATAGCAGCAGAACTATAGAGATAGCTCAGGATAACCTGAGCCACTCTAACTAGAAGCTTTATCAAAAAGGAAAGTTTTAAGCCTAGCCTTAAAAGTAGACAGGGTGTCTGCCTCATGGACTAAAACTGGTAGTTGGTTCCACAGGAGAGGAACCTGATAACTAAAAGATCTGCCTCCCATTCTACTTTTAGAAATTCTAGGAACCACTAGTAAACCTGCAGATTGAGAGCGAAGTGCTCTGTTAGGAACATAAGGAACAATCAGATCTCTGATATCAGATGGAGCTTGGCCATTTAAGGCTTTATATGTGAGAAGGAGGATTTTAAATTCTATTCTGGATTTAACAGGAAGCCAATGAAGAGAAGCCAGGATAGGAGAGATATGATCTCTCTTTTTCGTTTTCATCAGAACTCTGGCTGCAGCATTTTGGATCAGCTGAAGGCTTTTAACTACAGTTTGTGGACTTCCTGATAGTAAAGAATTACAATAGTCCAGCCTTGAAGTAACAAATGCATGGACTAGTTTCTCAGCATCACCCCTGGACAGGAGATTGCTCATTTTTGCAATATTCTTCAGATGAAAGAAGGAAATTGAAGGTCAGTTTATTTCTACAGTAAAAGGCTGGTTCAAACTGCTCTATATGAATAATAAAAATAAAAAAACTAATAATCTTTTAGTAATCAGTTTAACTCCATCAGTCAGCTCTAAACTAACGGGTTTTAAATCTGGCTTCAAAGAACTCAGGCTTTCAGCTCTTTTCCAGTCTGCTGAGAATTTGTTCCAGATCAATGGAGAATAGATGCTGCTTCTTATTCATTTCAATTCTATTCAGTGTATTTCTATAGCTCCAATTCCCATCATGTCATCTCAGGTCACTTTCCAGTTCACCAGATCATCCAGTCAGATTGATTCAAAGTTTTCTATCTAAGGAAAACCAGCTGATTGCATCGACTCATTGACTCTTCAGCAATCCCTCACACTAAGCATGCTTGTAGCGACAGTGGAGAGGAAAAACTCCCTTTGAACAGGAAGAAACCTCCAGCAGAACCAGGCTCAGTGTGAGCGGCCATCTGCTGAGGCCCACTGGGGTTCAAGGAGACAGAAGCAGACATAGAAAAATACATAGAAAAAACAGAACATTTCTCCTTCGTTAGCCGACATCCTGCTGGTTGGAGGACTCAGAACCAGTGGACTCGGGTCGGACCGCTGGGAGAGCAGGCAGAGCGTCCGTCCTCAGTGGACTGACAGCCGTTCAGCCTGCAGACAGGATTCATTAGACTCCGGCTCCATGTTGGGCTGTAGGCGGAGAGGGGAGGGCCTACCTGAGGACCTGCAGGCCACAGTTTGGAGCCTTTAACCAGGAAGCCAGGAGCTTCAGTCCAGAATCCTTCAGCTTGTTGTGACTCAGGTCCAGTTGTAGCAGACTGGAAGGAGCGGAGCTCAGAGCAGCGGCCAGAGACGCACAGCTTTGATCGGTGAGCTGACAACAGCTCAAGCTGCCAATGAAACAGAAGGTTCTGATATCTTTAGGAGGTCCCAACAGAAACACTAGAAACCTCACATTCTCTCAGAGAAGTGAACATGTGACTTGCCTCAGATTTTCCAGTCTGCAGTTTGGACTCCCGAGTCCAGGACTGAGCTGCCGGACCCCCGAGTCCTGCAGATCGTTGTAGCTGAGGTCCAGATGTTTGAGGCTGGAGGTTGGGCCTTTTAGAGCGCAGGACAGCGGTGAGCAGCAGCTTTCTGTCAGGCCGCAGTCATGCAAACTACAATCACAAGGTTTTCAGTCAGTCACACTAAGTTCTGCAGAATCCTGGAGGTTTGGGTTTAATGAACCTGCAGACGATGTTTCACCGACACAAGGCCTTCATCAGTTTATTGTCCGCTATGATGGAACATCTGTTGGACCTAACCTCATATAACCAGACCAACTACACCTCCCACAATGCACTGCAGCTCTGATATTCAACCCACACTGTAAAAACTCTAAATCTAGATCAGTTATTTTGTCTTAAAATAAATGCATTTCTTCCTAAATTAAGAAGGTAAAAGAAACATTTTGCCAACAAGACAATTTACATTTAAAATAAGAGGCATTTGCAATGTCTTATTACAGGTGCCTTTTATCTAAATATCTTATTTTAAGAGTAGAAATACTAATCCCATTGGCAAACTACCTCATTTACCTGCTCAAATTAAAGGAATAGTACACCCAAAACATGATTAGCCTTCATTTTCTACTCACCCCCATGCTGAACAACACTCTGGAGTACTTTTTTGATATCTCAAATGCATCTGGAGATCTGGGAGGCTTCTTGCTGTCTGCTGACATTCAAATAATGGAGGTCTATGGCGCCCGAGGCAGAAAGGTCCATAAAAGTCCACAAAAAACGTGTCAATATTCCTCCATACTGCTCGTCCAATGTATTCCAAGTGTCCTGAGTGGGTAGCGTCCAGAATTTACTCGAAACGAAGTCATTTAGAATGTTTTTAGAGCATAAACAGTAGTGTATAGGATTTCCTAAAAGCGCGTTCATGACACTACGGAAGCCGGCAGACCAAACCAGATGAAAGTTCGCATTCAGCGTCTGCTCTGCCGATAATGCAAGCGTAGAAGAAGAAATTTGCTGTTTACCTGTGCAAAGAAAGAAACCACGAAAGAAAAATGTCTGAGGACTTCAGTGTTGAGGAAGAGCATGAGTTCTTTGCCGAGCTGAATGCGCACTTTCATCTGGTTTGGTCTGCCGCGGTTTCCGTAGACTCGTGAACGCGCTTTTAGGAAATCCTATACACTACTGTTTATGCTCTAAAAACATTCTAAATGACTTTGTTTCGAGTAAATTCTGGACGCTACCCACTCAGGACACTTGGAATACATTGGACGAGCAGTATGGAGGAATATTGACACGTTTTTTGTGGACTTTTATGGACCTTTCTGCCTCGGGCGCCATAGACCTCCATTATTTGAATGTCAGCAGACAGCAAGAAGCCTCCCAGATCTCCAGATGCATTTGAGATATCAAAAAAGTACTCCAGAGTGTTGTTCAGCATGGGGGTGAGTAGAAAATGAAGGCTAATCATGTTTTGGGTGTACTATTCCTTTAAGGGTAAATACACTTACTTTACCCCCCCACCCCGATGCTGAGATACTGTTCTCATTTCCAACGCTTCAGAAACACAATACAGTGACATTCATTCCTGACCTTACAGATCTATGACACATAGATATTACCAAATAAACTAGAGCAAAGAGCAGAAACCAGAGAGCAGACCTCAGGCTCTGCAGGCTGCAGCCAGGATCCTCCAGAGAAACACAGAGCTGCAGGACTCCTGCATCCTCCACTCTGTTCTGACTCAGGTCCAGATGTTTCAGGAGGGAAGACTTCAGAGCAGGATGCAAAGAAGCACAGCTGATCTCTGTCAACTTGCAGTTTCTCAATCTGAAGAAACACCAAAACACAAAAGAACCATGGATCAGGTTCTGCCTGCGATTGGACCGAGGACGCTTCCGGACAGGAAGCTGATCGTCTCTCTGCCTCACTGAAGGTCTCAGTTTCAAATAATTAATAAGAGGCTTCAAACTGTTTATTAGTGATTTTAGTCCATGCATTCAGTGAACGGCTGCCTGATCCGTAAACATCGCTTTAATAATAATAATAATACAGATAGATAATAAAGATACCAATAAAATAAACTGATTTGGTTCCACCCATTAAAACGAACAGATTACATCGTCTAACAGCAGCTGAAAAAGAAAGAGTTTGAGCTGCAGAAACTAATTATTTATAATGATCATTCTAAATGATATAATAATTATTCTATTGTGTGCTCTGTTTGGATGGAAGCCATGTCTCCTTCTTCTTCGTGCATCATGGAAGGACCCTTTCGATCTCCTCCAAAAGATCAGCTGTTTGTTTGCATGTTCATACGGTACTGATGATACTGATTTACAAGCTGCATGATGTGATATTCTATGTTTAGGATGTTGTTTCTACTGTTGTTCGTTAAGAGTCCTTTGAACATTTGCGGCTATTCCAGTCATATTTTAAGTACTTATGCTCATTCATTCATACATTTGCAGATATTGTAGATTTAAACACATTTTACTTGAGAGTTTCCAGTTTAGATGAACCTGCTAGTCCAGCAGACAGTAATGCGACTCCAGAGTCCTGTAGGCTGTCGTTGTAACTCAAGTCCAGCTCAGTCAGACAGCGGTTGGTCTGTAAGACAGAGGCCAAAGCTCCACAGCTGACCTCTGAGAGTCTACAGCTAGCCAGTCTGTAGAAAACAAATGGAAAAGGATTAATATTCAATTATGATTTCGACAGAAGGAAGACAGAGACGTCTGTCAGAATAAAATCTACTTAACCTCAAAAGCATCAAATAAACAGAACCAGCAGACTTACAGGAGGCTTTGGAGTTCACAGCATGGACTCTCCATTCCTTGGATTAGTATCTGCAGTTCTGAATCCTGCATCTTACTTCCTGTCAGGTCCAGAAGCCTCAGGTGAGAAGGGCGGGACTTCTGCGTTGTGGCAATGACATCATAGTGCGTCTTTGAGAGCCAACATTCATGGAGTCTGAGGAGGAAAAACAGGTCACGTCACTCATCAGTAACTTCCTGCTTTGGGGATGGCGTGGAGGGCAGGAGGATCTCTAAATCACGGTGGGTTAGACAGAGCCAGTCTGGCCATCAAACATTAGCTGTGACCAGATGTTTGAAGAATGGAGACGATTCCTAAAGAGAAAACCTCTGAGCCTGCAGGAGCTGCTCAGAACCAATAGTATGAAAAACTCCAGTGTCTCTGGTTAAACCTGCGGATACGTTAACTTCATGAAGAGTTCCAGCTGGAAACATTTTCTCCATCAAAGGAACCTAACAGCGTTTAATTTAACTGCTTTAAATCCCCTAGATGCAGAATTAAAGTCCTGATTAGTTAAACTGCTTAAGATTAAACCACTGAATTCTCTCTCTGATCTGATTGAATCTATTAATGGAGAAACTCTCCTGGAGCCAGACTGAATGTTGACCAGTTGAAGCTCTATTGTTTATGTTTATGCATTTAGCAGCACAAAGTCACTTACAAAGTAGACCCAATTTTATACTTATCATAAATATAGCAGTAAGTTCTGTAGAGGAACACCCTGAGTTAGAATCAGTGGGGACAGCAGAGGCATAGAGCTATGGGTAAGAGTTAGGATAGGAGATGATTGACTACTGACTACCAAGCTCCGGTGTTTCTGGTCAAATCTGGTGAAAAAAACTCCTTTGACCTCCGGCAGAGACCATGAATCCTCACAGTGGCAAGCAGAGGCCCATAAGTAGTCAGGAGTACCTTGGACAGGTGGACAAGCAGGACACGTTCTGAGTACGTTTATCTGGTTATCCCGGCAACATTCTGGGCTGTTAATAGAAAACAGAACTAGAAGCGATTATCGATGTTTAAAGACTATAAGGACTCACCGAACCTTTCTGCAGTTCCTCACAGCTGGAATCAGCCTCAGTCGACCCATCCATGAGGTGTTGTACTTCTCCAGGTCCAACTCATCCAGAACCTCTGACATCTGCAGCATGTAGGCCAGAGCGGAGCACTGGATCTCTGAGAGCTTCTTCTCTGATCTATTCTCTGATTCCATGAACTGTTGGATCTCCTGATAAACTGAGAGGTCCTTCATCTCCATCAAACAGTGGAAGATGTTGATGCTTCTGTCAGGAGAAACAAACTTAGCCTCCATCTCTTTCAGATTATTGGTGATCTTCTGGATGGTTCCTGGGTTGTTTTCTGTCTGACCCAAGAGGCCTCCTAAGAGTCTCTGGTTGGACTCCATAGAGAGGCCATGAAGGAAGCGAGCAAACAGGTCCAGGTGGCCATTTGGACTTGTCCAGGACTTTTTTATGATCATCTGCAAAAGATCAGGCAGTGAGGTGAACCGACCTTCCCAGATATCAGTCACTGTCTTCTTCATCACCATACTCATCATCCTCCTCAACTCCCAGGAAGTTTCTCACCACCTCTGTGTTCCTGCTGGTGAAGCAGTGGAGCATGTAGAGCGCAGCCAGAAACTCCTGGATGCTCAGGTGAACAAAGCTGTAGACTGGTTTCTGGAAGATCACCTTCTCTCTTTTGAAGATCTCTGTACAAACTCCTGAGAACACTGAGGCCTCTGTGACATCCAGACCACACTGCTCCAGGTCTTCTTGGTAGAACATGATGTTTCCTTTCTCCAGATGTTCGAACGCCAGCCTCCCCAGCTGCAGGAGAACTTCCCTGTCAGCCTCCATCAGCTCCTGTGGACTCGTCTGATGTCCTTCATGGTACTTGTTCTTCTTCCTCCTGGTCTGGACCAGCAGGAAGTGTGAGTACATGTCAGTCATGGTCTTGGGCAGCTCTCCTCTCTGCTCTGTGGTCAACAGGTTCTCCAGAACCGTAGCAGTGATCCAGCAGAACACTGGGATCCCACACATGATGTGGAGGCTCCTGGAGGTCCTGATGTGGGAGATGATCCTGCTGGACATCTCTTCATCACTGAACCTCCTCCTGAAGTACTCCTCCTTCTGGGCGTCGCTGAAGCCTCGTACTTCTGTTACCCTGGAAACACAGGAAGGAGGGATCTGATTGGCTGCTGCAGGTCTGGAAGTTATCCAGACCAGAGCCGAGGGAAGCAGGTTCCCCTCGATGAGGTTCATCAGCAGAACGTTGACTGATGACTTCTGTGTGACGTCAGAAACAATCAGACTGTTGTTGAAGTCCAGAGAAAGTCTGCTTTCATCCAGACCGTCAAAGATGAAGAGAAGCTTCCAGATAGCCAGCTTCTCTGCTGGGAGCTTCTGGAGGGTTGGATGGAAAACATGGAGCAGCGTGAGAAGACTGTGCTGCTGATCTCTGATCAGGTTCAGCTCCCTGAAGGAAAGCAGAACCACCACCCTGACATCTTGGTTCTCCAAGCCCTCTGCCCAGTCCAGAGTGAACTTCTGCACTGAGAAGGTTTTTCCAACACCAGCGACGCCGTTGGTCAGAACCACTCTGATGGCTCCATGTTGGTCAGGGAAGGCTTTGAAGATGTCCTGGCACCTGATTGGAGAATCATGGAGGTTCTGGATCTTGGAAGCTCTCTCCAGCTGCTTCACCTCATGTTGGGTATTAACCTCTTCACTCTGTCCCTCGGTGATGTAGAGATCAGTGTAGATCCTGTTGAGGAGGGTTCTACTTCCTGTTTCATCACTTCCTTCAGTCACATGTTCACATCTCCTCCTCAGATGGATCTTATGTTCCTCTAGAAGCTTCTCCAGGATGACATCTGTGAGGGTGAGATCATTTAAATTAACCTTAGAGTTAAAAAACATTTAGAGAAAATCCTGCTCCTACTACATTACTTTTGTGAACATAGCAGCTTCCTCTAAACCTTCAGAGACTTCAGGTCGGCCTACAACTCAGTGACCACGGGTGTTTTAATCTTTTAACTGGTTATACATAAATCTATGAGTTACAAATAACTTTTTGTGGAGACGATCCAAGATGGCGGCGAGAGAAGGGCCATAGTCAAAAAAACAAAAACAAAACAAAGCAGATGAATTCAAGGACAGCACAATGGAAGAAATAAACAATGAGCAATGAGGCAGCGCATGCTACGTTAGCTTCCATCAGGAAAGACATAAAAAGACTCCAAACAAGATCCAGGTGGAAGGAATGGAGAAGATAAACCAGGGAAAATAGACTCTTCAGAACAAAAATGTTCTTTTTCTACACGTCATGAGTTACAACCCTGCTGACACATACAGTGTTTCTGATTGGGCGTCTACTGTCTGTGTCCAGCCATCATCCAATCACATTCTTACTCAATCATCTCTAAGCATCACGGGACGTCCTGCCATGGAAAAGCTGTGGATGAATCTTTACTTGCTTTGTTAGAATCTTGGTTTGTGATATTGCTGTATTTGGTGATTAGTAATGAAACTAATGTTAGCAATAGGCTAGTTAACTTATATTGGTTAGCTAGTTGTGGCGCCAGTAGCTAGCTTCTGTGAGTGTTTGCCTGAGACCTGTAGAAGCTGCTAAGTGTTTCTCTTTTGCAACCCGCGACAAAAACCTAGTTTATCTATAAGAGAAGTTACATGTCCGTTTTTTTCTCTTTGCCGTTTGCAATGATCCCCTCCTCACCAGCTGTTTGGGATAATGGACCTATGATGCTCTCTGCCAGCTGCCATAAAAACCCACTCATTCCTCAAATGTTGAAGCTGTTGGCTGAGAAATGTAGCTGCGCTGTTTGCAGACATAAGAGAAAGATTTCACATACTCCATTCTGCCATGAAGGAAGTAACGTAGCTAGAAGCAGAGAGTGCGCTCATACCTAGCCGACATTGATGAAGAACCAGCTCAGAGCAAATCTCCATCTGCAGCCTCATTTGCAGCACAGATGTATTCTCTCCACTTTAAAAAGATGCACAACCCTGTGCTCGCTCTCGAGAGGGATTGCCTATTAGATGCGTGAACTAGCGCTCAAAAGTCAATTTTTACTCGAGCACCATCTGCTTAAAAGTTGCAGTTCTCATAGTTCATACCAGCTTCCTGTCTCCGACCGTCCGCTCTAACCCCTAAATCCCTCCTTCACTATTCAGAGCAGGGACTATATAGTGAAGTTTATAGTGAACTCAGTTAACTGACTGTTCAGACTGATGATCACTGCTTTTTGCTCCATTGGTCTCCACTCCTCCTCCACCGCACGATGCCGTCGCCATCTTTGTTATTAGTCGCCGCTGTCGGGTAGCGACAGCCTATGGCGACAGCGGGGGGCTGTGACAGCAAATCCCATAATGCTTTGCCAGGAGAGCTCTACGCTCAGAGCAATCATCTGCTTCTTCTGAGGCCTTTCTTTTCTTCCCATACACTTTGTCTCTGAGGGATTGCTGAAGAGTCAATGAGTCGATGCAACGACTTATCAGGAAGAACAACCCGAGATCAGAGCTGCTGCTGCTCTATGGAGGCACTGCTGAGCTGAGGTTCTCTTCTGCACTGCAGCAGAGAGGAAGCAGCTCCAGCTGCTCATTAACACCACCCAGAGACTGACTGGCTGCCCTCTGCCTTCCCTGGGAGAGATTTACTCCACCCACCGCCTCAGGTAAGCCGGCAGCTTCATTGCACCCTGGTAACCAAATGCTGCCCTTTGGGAGGTTTTTAAAGCGATGAGCATCAAAGCAAACTGAAAAACAGCTTTGTCCCTAAGAGCTGCTGGTTCCCTGAACGCCTCACATACCCTGGAACCTCCAACAATCACATGAACAGCCAATCTCTACAACACTGAATAAGAGAACTATTCTCATGTTCAAAACCACAATTTCTGTTAATGTTCATGTTTATAGAAATCCATTTTCTGACACTGCACCGCCAGCTTTATAACTTTTATTTTCTTTTTATTCCACTATTTGCCTGCACTGTTTTGATTTATATTGTTTTATATTGTTTTGAGCTGTTAAAAATTGAGTTGCATTTTGAGGAAAATGACAAACCCTTTAATTCTGATTTTCACAGTTTAGATTTGACACATTTATTAACAATAATTTATCTGGATGTCGTCACCCGTTGGCCCTTTCAGGCACCGACTTACCCACAACCACAATCAAATACATTAGGAATCCATTAAAAAGGAACACATCATCTCATGAAATGAATTTCTAATAATCAGATTGGTTTATTCTGTCTCACAGAAACCTGGCTGCATTATGTTAGAATAAAAGCGTCATCTATATAGACCCGCATTCTCACACAGAGCAGCTCACTTAGAGCAGGAATTATACAAAGATTGAAAAAAATAACGAAAACGTTTTGCATTTCACATTAAAACATGTTTTTGTCCATCATTCGCCTCTATAACCCAGAACTCCTCAAGTGGAAACGTTTTAGGTTCACCTGGTTTCATTTTTTTAATATCTTCTGCTGCATGAAGCAAACTTACCACAGCTGCTGGAGACAGTGTCCTGCTCCTCCTCCTCCTCCTCGATGTGTTTCCTCTGCTTGATTCCAGAAGGCCTAAAAAAACAAGGACCAAAGTTCATCAGGAGAGACCAATGCTCCCTCAGTCCGTAGAACCTCAATAATCAGCGCTTATGGATCAGATGTGGGCGGGGGGTGGGGGGTGGGGGGGGTCCCTGCACCAGTTCCAGGCTCTCTACAGACCCAGCAGTCAGAAGCACCTGGAACTCATAGACCTGCTCAGATGCTCTGCAGATGAATGAAGATGAAGCAGATGTGATCAGAAACGTCCATAAAGTGGAGCTTCAGCATCACCAGTAGCTTCTGGTGCTAAACCAGTTCCTCCCACAGAGAGCAGACTGGCATCAACACACCGAGTCCTTCAATCAGATGTTAGGATGAACTCAGGAAGATTGTCGTTAGCTTCCAGGACCGCCTAGAACCGCGCTGCCTCGTTTTCTCTCCTGTTAGCATCGATAGCATTCGCTACTTCTAAGGCCGTCACTCCTCTGAGCTTTTATCTTCGTTAGAGAGGGAGACCTTCTGATGCATGCATGTCACCATCATCACCATCATCATCATCACCATCATCATCACTACCATCATCATCACTACCATCATCATCATCACTATCATCATCATCACTACCATCATCATCACTACCATCACCATCATCATCATCACCATCATCATCACTACCATCATCATCACCATCACTACCATCATCATCATCATCACTATCATCATCATCACCATCATCACCACTACCATCATCATCACTACCATCATCATCATCATCATCATCACTATCATCATCATCACTACCATCACCATCATCATCATCACCATCATCATCACTACCATCATCATCACCATCACTACCATCATCATCATCATCACTATCATCATCATCACCATCATCACCACTACCATCATCATCACTACCATCATCACCACTACCATCATCATCACTACCATCATCATCATCATCACTATCATCATCATCACCATCATCACCACTACCATCATCATCACTACCATCATCATCATCATCATCATCATCACTATCATCATCATCACTACCATCACCATCATCATCATCACCATCATCATCACTACCATCATCATCACCATCACTACCATCATCATCATCATCACTATCATCATCATCACCATCATCACCACTACCATCATCATCACTACCATCATCACCACTACCATCATCATCATCATCATCATCATCATCACTATCATCATCATCACTACCATCACCATCATCATCATCACCATCATCATCACTACCATCATCATCACCATCACTACCATCATCATCATCATCATCACCATCATCATCATCATCACCATCATCATCATCATCACCATCATCATCATCATCATCATCACCATCATCATCATCATCACCATCATCACCATCATCATCATCACTACCATCACCATCATCATCATCACCATCATCATCACTACCATCATCATCATCATCATCACTATCATCATCATCATCATCATCATCATCACCATCATCATCATCACTACCATCACCATCATCATCATCACTACCATCATCATGATCATCACTATCATCATCATCACTACCATCACCATCATCATCATCACTACCATCACCATCATCATCATCACCATCATCATCACTACCATCATCATCATCATCACTATCATCATCATCATCATCATCATCATCACCATCATCATCATCACTACCATCACCATCATCATCATCACTACCATCATCATGATCATCACTATCATCATCATCACTACCATCACCATCATCATCATCACCATCATCATCACTACCATCATCATCACCATCACTACCATCATCATCATCATCACTATCATCACCATCATCATAACTACCATCATCATCATCGCTATCATCACCATCATCATCACTACCATCATCACCATCATCATCACCATCATCATCACTACCATCACCATCATCATCATCACCATCATCATCACTACCATCATCACTACCATCACCATCATCATCATCACCATCATCATCACCATCATCACTACCATCATCATCACTACCATCATCATCATCATCACTATCATCATCATCACTACCATCACCATCATCATCATCACCATCATCATCATCACCATCATCATCACTACCATCATCATCACCATCACTACCATCATCATCATCATCACTATCATCACCATCATCATAACTACCATCATCATCATCGCTATCATCACCATCATCATCACTACCATCATCACCATCATCATCACCATCATCATCACTACCATCACCATCATCATCATCACCATCATCATCACTACCATCATCACTACCATCACCATCATCATCATCACCATCATCATCACTACCATCACCATCATCATCATCACCATCATCATCACTACCATCATCACCATCATCATCACCATCATCATCACTACCATCACCATCATCATCATCACCATCATCATCACTACCATCATCATCACCATCACTACCATCATCATCATCATCACTATCATCACCATCATCATAACTACCATCATCATCATCGCTATCATCACCATCATCATCACTACCATCATCACCATCATCATCATCGCTACCATCATCATCATCATCATCATCACTACCATCATCATCATCGCTACCATCATCATCATCGCTACCATCATCATCATCACTATCATCACCATCACCACCATCATCACCCATCACCATCATCACCACCATCATCATCATCATCATCATCACTATCATCACCATCATCATCACTATCATCACCATCACCACCATCATCATCACTACCATCATCACCATCATCATCACTACCATCATCACCATCATCACCATCATCATCATCATCATCATCGCTACCATCATCACCATCATCATCACTACCATCATCACCATCATCACCATCATCATCACTACCATCATCATCATCGCTACCATCATCACCATCATCATCACTATCATCACCATCATCATCACTACCATCATCACCATCATCATCATCGCTACCATCATCATCATCACTACCATCATCATCATCGCTACCATCATCATCATCGCTACCATCATCATCATCACTATCATCACCATCACCACCATCATCACCACCATCATCACCATCATCATCATCACTACCATCATCATCATCATCATCACTATCATCACCATCACCACCACCATCATCACACATCACCATCATCACCACCATCATCACCATCATCATCATCACTACCATCATCATCATCATCATCACTATCATCACCATCACCACCATCATCATCACTACCATCATCACCATCATCATCACTACCATCATCACCATCACCACCATCATCATCACTACCATCATCACCATCACCACCATCATCATCACTACCATCATCACCACTACCATCACTACCATCATCATCACCACTACCATCATCACCATCATCATCACTACCATCATCACCATCACCACCATCATCATCACTACCATCATCACCATCACCACCATCATCATCACTACCATCATCACCACTACCATCACTACCATCATCACCATCATCATCACTACCATCATCATCATCGCTACCATCATCACCATCATCATCACTACCATCATCATCATCGCTACCATCATCACCATCATCATCACTACCATCATCACCATCATCACCATCATCATCACTACCATCATCATCATCGCTACCATCATCATCATCGCTACCATCATCATCACTATCATCACCATCACCACCATCATCACCCATCACCATCATCACCACCATCATCATCATCATCACTATCATCACCATCACCACCATCATCATCACTACCATCACTACCATCATCACCACCATCATCATCATCATCACTATCATCACCATCACCACCATCATCATCACTACCATCATCATCATCATCATCACTATCATCACCATCACCACTACCATCACTACCATCATCACCACTACCATCACTACCATCATCACCATCATCACCATCATCATCACTACCATCATCATCGCTACCATCATCACCATCATCATCACTACCATCATCATCATCGCTACCATCATCACCATCATCATCACTACCATCATCACCATCATCACCATCATCATCACTACCATCATCATCATCGCTACCATCATCACCATCATCATCACTACCATCATCACCATCATCACCATCATCATCACTACCATCATCATCATCGCTACCATCATCACCATCATCATCACTATCATCACCATCTCACTACTCGCTATGGTTTCTAGTGAATTATCTCCTTTAGCAGCTGATTCGCAGTGAGGAGAGATGATGAACTTTGTTCAGCCTTCAGGGCGACACCAACACCGCAGAGGCTCCAGCGTGACGCCATGAAATGGGCTTTACAATGTTAGCAACGGCGTATCAGAGAAGACAACTAACATTTGATAACCAGGAAATACGTTCCATCAAATATAGGCCTATAGTTTAAAAACTACTCTTTAAATCCGCAGTCAGTTATTGTTCATCAGAGACTGGGAGCGTTTTAAAAACTACAATATTAGAATAACATTAGTGAGAAAGGACAGATTAATGCAGCTGGAGGGCTGCTTGATTATTACATTCACATCTAATAAAAGTAAATAAAATGTGTCTGTAATCTAGGATAGAATAAGAGAATCAGTGTTTGATACAAAAACACTTTATTAACAATAAGCTAGGAGGCAGATTAAACCTCCTTTAGCCGTTCTCTCACCCTGTTTCTGGTGATCCAGGTCCATCGCTGAAGTATGGGGGTGAATCTTTGGACCAGTTGCTCCTCATGGATCCTGCAGGTTTTGCTCCGTCCTCATTTTTCTCCAAACAGTCGTTCATCTTCGCGTCGTCAGGTTGGCAGTTAGAGCCGTGAAGCAGATCTGCCAACCTGGTGAAACAGGAAAAGCAGGTCTCTCAGAGGCAGCATGGCAGGAAACCTGCTGATTGGTTACCTCCTGGCAGTGAGCACAGCTGCTCTCCGCCGTCTCTTTATTATCTCACATCTGAAGCTCTCAGAGACTCTGAACTTAAAAAGAAGCTGAAAGTTCTCAGCATCTGTTAAACTTTCTGGTTTTTCCCTTAAATCTGCTGTTTTTCCATGTTTAGTTCCAACTTTCTAAATATTTTCCTCCCTCAGTCCTGAAATACAAATCTTTTAATGATTCTGCTAAACTATTTCTTTCTAATGGATTCCAATCTTCTGACCTTCGACCTTTCCTGGCCGTAGAGAGCTAGTTACAGAAACAAGCCTCCACAGAGACAGTTTCTCTGATAAACACCTAACAGCCTGAGTACTCGGCTGCATTGCTTGGATTAATCGTTCACTAACAATCTCATGTTTTTCTTTATGAACACTAACATTCACACTTGGAACACTAACATTCACACTTGTCCGTTCTGCCGTACATACCTGCTGTAAGCAAAGTGAAATGCCTTCAGTGTGCACGATGATGGCCAATAAAGTCGATTCTGATTGATTGGTGCTTCAGGAACATTCAGATGGAGGGATTGCTCATCAACGCCACCCTGGGAATTGAACTCACTCTGAATGTTATCAGCCCATTAAACGACCTCTGAAGGAGGAGGTGACCTGCTGTCGCTTATGTGCAAAATTCTTCTCTCTCACTGAGCAATACCTCATGCCACCTGTGGTGTAGCTTCCCTCAGCTCTCTACTGAGCAGATATTGTTATATCTAAAGGAAACATATTCCAGGACATTACAACTTTTTGTGGCCCACCTATACCCCACGGAAGTAGGTAAGGCCCCCCCGAGTTTGTAAAAAAAAAAACCCCTTAAACTCTATTTATTCTTTATGATTTGACTTGAGTTTGGCTCACCTCTGAGGACAGTAACAACTTCAAACACAACCTAAGGTAATCAGTTATAGGTTATAATCCAGCCTGATTTCTGCTTATTTCTTATGCAATTATTTTACTTATTGCAAATAACCAAACAACACAACAGTTTATGCTTCTTTGAACTAATATTGAGCAAAAGAAACAAAAAGAAACAAAAAAAAAAAAACAATACAACTGGGATGTTTTCAAAAAATAAAATGAAAATAAATTTCACACTGTAAAAAAGTTTGAGTTTCAATTGTCCAACTTTAACTAAAACATGTGGGCCCAAACATCCTGACTCACACCTAATCCGGCATATAGTTCTAAATAAAACAAGCTAGCTGAGCTAGCTCCCAGTGCTAAAGATGCATTCACTTGGCTGGTGAATGCTAATGCATTAGCGAGCACTGAAGCTTCTATAAAGAAAAGTTCGGGTTGAAATAATAATAATAATAACAACGATGTAGAGCTGATATTTAGAAATGACTGTCGAGTTGAAAACCCATAAAACATCAACTAAACTCAGTTTTTAGCAAACTTCAGAACGTTTTTTCCGTGGTCAAGCTACAAACTCTCATTAACTTCCTGTCTCTCCTCTAGCACCTCCCACTTCCTGTATATGGACCAATGACAAACCAGTAAAATCCTTCTGCTCTACACGACTTCCTTTATCCAACACGAGCAATTTCAAAATAAAAAGAGATGTGACAATTCTTTCTAACGTTTAACAAAAAATTAGATTTGTTAATAGTTTTAAGATATACTATTCTGTATAGACAAAGTTTTTAACTTATTTATTAAAACTTTAAGACATTAAATGTTGAACACTTCAAATCCATCTGAGAATTTAAAACAACACGACCCACGACCATTTTAAAGAGGGTTGCTTTTTTTAAATCCTTTTTTATACTATATACACTCTTTTTATATTGTCTGTGCATTTTCATCTTTAATGGCATCTTGCTTTATCTCTTTGTGTTCTATATAAGCTACTGGAAGCAGAATCTCCCGGAAGGAATAATCCCAAGGATTAATAAAGCTGAGTTTAAGTCTATAAATGATCAGTCTCATAGAATGGCTTCAGATTGAGTCTGCTGCTCCTGCAAGAGGTTTCAAGCTAATTATCGACCATCGTATTGCTGTTATGATACAGCTCTAAAATTCAGGTTAATTTCTATTCAGTTTATTTCTATAGCGCCAATTCACATCATGTCATCTCAGGTCACTTTCCAGTTCACCAGATCATCCAGTCAGATTGAGACTAACTGGATGTGCTCTCTTCATCCTCTGACATGGGAGCTGGCTCGGAGCTCGTCTGCCTGGCTGTGTGTTTCCTGGACGGGGCCGCCTGTGGAGCTGGTTGACAGTTGCCTTTTGTATCTATGCTTCTTTTTCTATGTCTGCTTCTGTCTCCTTGAACCCCAGTGGGCCTCAGCAGATGGCCGCTCACACTGAGCCTGGTTCTGCTGGAGGTTTCTTCCTGTTCAAAGGGAGTTTTTCCTCTCCACTGCGTTATAGTTAGTCTATCTATCTATCTATCTATCTATCTATCTATCTATCTATCTATCTATCTATCTATCTATCTATCCATCCTGATTTCTCCATTTCTCCATATAGGCTAACATTTGATCCTTCACGCTCTTCGTCGTTCCCCTGTGGCGAGAGCGCAGGGTGGCTGTTACGCGCCTTTAGCTAGAATGCCGTTTCCTGTCGCTTGCGCGGTTAATCATGCCGCCTGCGCTGTGCGGAGATGCAGGGGAAACCGTATCTGATGGGGAAACGCAGCTCGACGTAACACCGGTATTTCCATCTGCTGCTGGAGTCCTCCTCACTCTCCATCTCTCTGTGTGTGCTGTACGTTAACACCCGCCAGCAGAAACACCCACCTACCCAACTGACAGATGGAATCTCACTATACATCAGCCAATCTCATCCTCCCCTCTCTCATGACAATGCGCGCACGAGTCCTATCATGAAAAAAAGGTTAATTGTGCGACCTGAGTAACGTGCAGTAACGGGGTGTCTGCAATGGTAACTGCGTTATAGTTACAGTCAAAGTAATTAGTTAGATTACCTCGTTACTAAAAAAGGTAATGGCGTTAGTAACGCTTTCAGTGACTATATTACATTACAATATGCAACAAAAAATGCAATGACTGCATGATTAGCATATTCAATGGTTTGCAGGCAAACATCCTATTTTATCGATGTCTTTCAGAGTTTCAAACCTGCAGCTTGTTTTTCTAAAAAACTTCTAATTTCTGTTCATCCAGCAGCGTCTGTTTCCAGAGCTTTTCTCTTTCGTTCTGGTTTCTCTGCGCCGCCTTTCAGATGCCTCTGACCACCTGAGGGCAACGACCTGTTGCATCAGGAAGAAGCTGGCAGTGGAGACGGAGGCAGCCCAGGGATGGAGGTAGCAGCGTTCACTCATGGCTTAATATCAGGCCTAAATTAGACCGGCCCACCAGGAATTGTCCAGGTCCCCCGATAGCCCCCCTGGGCTTCTGAAGGCGTCTGAGCTGCTCCAGAAAAGTTCACCATGGAAGAAGCCTGGAGGAGATTAAACTTTATAATGATAAAAAAACGGATTTAAAATGAAAAAAAAAGCTTCATAGAAGAAACCATCACTTCCTTAATGAGCTGTTTGACCTACAGGTTCAATTAACAGAAAACATCGGGGGGAAAAATGCGTTAAAATGATGACTGAGCTTTATTTCCAATTTCTGGGTTACAGGCAGAAAATGAAAGAGGAAAAAGATCAACTTTACAGTTTCATCAAATTCAGTTCAAACCTCCATGGTGCCACAGAATGGAGCTTAGTTTGAATTTCACCTTTATTGTTCCAAAGAGACAAACAGTGTCAGACAGGAAGAAAGAGTTCATCATCAGGATCCAGTCAGAGTCTCTTTAAACTCAAACCGCTGCAGCTTCTGCCTCTGTGGATCATCAGGATACATCAGCTTCTAGAAAGATCATCCCCTCCACAACCTGCAGAGAGCAGAAACAACATCTCTCCATCATCTGCAGCACATCCAGGATGAGAGCAGCAGGAACTTCAGTCCTGTTCAGATTAGATGTTTAGCAGAGCTAGATGCAGCTTATTTCCTGGGCAGCAGACCTAACTAAAGCTCAGAGAACATCCAATCTGATTTTTTTCTACCAATCCCACAGAAAATCGTGCTTCAGAGGTCAAATATCGCTGATTGAAAGTCAATGGGGATGATTTCCTGCAGGGGCAGTAAGGCTCCTGACAGAGCCCAGGTCTATTTTAGTCAGACTACGCAGCAATTCAGCATCAATTTCATGGGTCTGACAGAAAGAGAGACGCGGTTCCAAAGTAAAACACATCCGCTTTGGTGGAAAATCCAAAATAAAATCTTTTCATCTCACAGGGATATAGTCAGAGTTGCACATCGCGTTTATCGTAAGCAGGACAGACTGGAGCTTTATAGAAGGCACCAATGTTTTTTTAATTATAACTTTTCATAATCTGTTCAAGTGAAATGTGGTCAATTGTTTTAACTTCTGCATAGCACAGCGACAGGATCTGCTCATTCTGTCTAGTTGGAGCGTCTCTACACACAGTCAGTGTGACAGGGAAAAAAATCAGACTGGAGATTAAAAAGTTGTACGCAGTCGGTGCGTTCAGGGCTCTAGCCAGAATGAGGAGCAGATTCCTGAGTTCCTATACTGTGCTTTGGGATTTTCAGAACTGGGAAAATCTAACGTCCTAATCTGAGTCTGGATGCTGGGTTCGGTCATTCTCCTCTCTAGCAGCAGAGGGAGCTAACATCATGGAATATTAAGATAAAAGCTCATGTTGATCAGAAGCAATATAATTCTACATTACTGACTCAACATGTCCTTTTTGGGGCTTATCAGGGATTCTTAGGCAGAAATTGTGTAAACATAAATTATTGTTTTGCAATAACAGTTATGATAAAAAGAAAAACGTGAATAGGGATTTAAATTGATCTAACATGGAGCATAAGGAGTGTTTGCTCTCTAACATCTGCAGGCCGCTCCGCTAAAGGACATCTATTCCCTCAGTTTCTCCAGGATTAAACCCAGGAGAGGCAGATATAAAGTTTTCGCTCAACAAGTGGAGAGATGAACGCATCATCGACAGTCTTCTTCACAGGAACACAAAGAGCTTCTGACTTATCTGATTGGCTGATTGTTGCCTTCTGACCACAGCAGCTAGACTCCCTTCCAGCATTGACTCACAGCATCTGCAGTTTGTAGTCCGGATTCTTTACGAGCTCCTCCAGCTGCTGAACGTCTGACTCCGTCAGCTTGTTCCACCTCAGGTCCAGTTCTGTCAGACTGGAGGCGTTGGACTTCAGAGCTGAGCTCAGAGAAGCACAGCTGATCTTCGACAAGCCGCAGTCCTTCAGCCTGAATGAAGAAAAAGGATGTGAGCTGAGGAAGGAGGTTCATTAAGGATAACATGCTCTGGAGCTCTGTCAGCTCCACCAGATGCTCCAATCATAAACTTGGCTTCTGTAGACAAATAGTTTGGGATAATAAAACTATTTTAACAGGAGGGTTTCAGTTAGTAAAATCCTCAGATCCTCATTGCATTTTTTTCCATGTTTATGCTCTTTTTGGAGAAACTGGCAACACAGATGGTGGGAATCAAGCTCCCATGTATTGTGACTCCTCTCAGTGTCTTTATTTCCTCTTATATTAAAGTCTAATTATAGAATGACTAGAAACCACACAATTTTTTTAATTGTCGTATTGTTTAAGCTTTTTATCTGTTCTGAATCTGAAATTTTAAAGCCAAATACACTGATCCAGGTTCTGTTTTGTTTCAGTGAAATGTCACGTTGAGTGGCAGAGGTGAATCCTGTAGTCACTGAGTGAC